ACGGGGCACATGTCAACATCAAATAGAATCATGTTGATAATAAGATCACTTACCTAATTAGCATATTTTGTAGTCATGAATTTATCCTTAATGAAAGTTCGATTTTGTCCATTGAAATCCAAGTCAAATTATGCGAGCCTACAGCATCAGTTCAAGTTTGAACTTCCACAAAATTGTTTCTCTCATTTATATTAGTCCAGTCTTATTATAATAACTCATTCTAAAGGATATCTTCACTCACATGTCTGTATATGAACGATTTGAATTAAATTATTTGTAACGATTACAAAGTGGTACCAGGATAAGGCAACAAACCCTATCCATACTATAAATCATTTAGATTATTACTTGAACACGATCTTTTTTATGTCAACTACATATGGTTCCAGATTAAATTATAAATAAAATTGTAAATCAATGGTAAATAAAATAATAAAAATTATTATTAAAAAATTAAATAACTAATTATGAGGCTTTAGAGTATAAATCCCAGCATTGCATTCATTTAGATATGGTACCCACTCTGAGTTCGGATTCGAGATGAACCTGCCGGCTTCTCTTTCTGTACTATACTTGATAAGAAAAAGGAACCACTACAAGGGAAGTAAGATTCAGATTCCCTTGTTAATCGAATATCTCAAGGCAAGAACATTGTTTAAGATTCGAATCACTCCACAAGCAAGATCGATCACGTCTAGCTTGAATGATTCTTGTTGATCAAATATCTCAAGGCAAGAACACTTGTTTGAGATTCGAATCACTCCACAAGCAAGATTGATCATGTCGAGCTTGAATGATTCTACATGCAACCTAAACTACATAGAATTGCAAATAAACTTAGTCATTGGCTAAAGAAAAACACAAATGCTTCTTTTACTGTCACAATGATAGTACATGGTTTAACACTGTCACAACCTCTCTCAAGTGTGCTTCGAGCTACCTCCAACCAATGATCAAAGAGATCGAGCGAAGTATTCAAAATAAAAATTAATGGAAAGGTTACTATTGTTGTATTATTATTTAATTTGCAATGGAAGATCTAAGTCCAACCTGCTAGAAATATTTATGTAGGGTAAGTAGTTGGTAGATGTATGGAGGCCCTAAGCTATCATCATCTACAACGCAACGGAATTTATAATTAAGGAATTCAGAACATTCATAAATGAAATTCAACTATAACTCACTTGTTTTTAAATATAAATATGAATATACATTTAACAGCCTCTGTTGAAAGGCTCGAGGAGCCCATCACCTGAAGCCAGGGCCGGCCACCATTCCCACCCACATTTATGTCCAACAACTGGTGTGAGGTGTGAGGAGATACCACGTGGACAGACAGGAAAGAGACACGTGCTGATGGTTCCCTCGGATACCCTTTAGTTTCATATTTGAATTATTCTGAACACGACACGACCGAATACTTGGGAGATCTGTCGGGTTATTTTTTTATATTTACTTTTAAAAATCACACTTTAGGTTAAATTATTAATTAAAATTTCATAAATTTTAAATACTTGGATATTGAATAAATTGAAAATGGGTCGAGTGAAAAAAAAAATGGAAGAAATGAAGTGATTAAGGGCATTGAATTAATAAATATTTCAATCCTACATTCTTCTCTCTATTTAATGAAAAGTTGTGTAATTAATAAGAGTAAAGATGTATTATTTATTGTCTTCTCTCATTTATAACTAAACTTAATAATGTTAAATTTAATAAATAAAAAAATTATTTAAAATCATTTTAAAATAGTTAAAATCTTTTTTTTTTCATGTTGGAATTATGTTTAAAAATGTAAATCAAATATTAAATTTATTTTACAAAATAAAAAACATGTCATAAATGTTTTATAACAAATCTTAATACACAAAAATACTTTACATATAAAAAAAAAAAAAAAATCTTTTGAGATTTTTACCTCTTTTTCTCCTCAATTTCTCTAAAACTTACCCACTGCCATGATATTTACGTCTCGATGGAGCTCGTCATCGTTGTAATTTACCCACCACCATGATTAAGCTGGTTCAGTACTTTTTCTTATTGTTTTGAATTAATGTTAGGGTCAAAATAGGTGTTTGTAGCATTATGGATGAGTTTTTTTTATATGCCTTCAAGGTTGTAAGTAAAATCAGACTTCGTTAAGGCTCACCAAAGTTGCAGCTATCACATGAAAGTGTACAACGTTTGGATTAAGCTCATTAAAATAAGTGGACTTACTTTTGGACGCCTATAGTCTTGGTTAGGTGAATTGTTTGGTGCATGAATAATATGTATCGAGATGCTTCAAATTATGAGCTATTGAATTGAAGGATGATGTGTTGATAAAATGTTCACGGTATGATTAACCATGATTGATAAGACAAGGAACCACTACAATGGGAGTAAGATTCGGATTACCTTGTTGATCGAATATCTGCCTTGTTTGAGATTCGAATCACTCCACAAGCAAGATCGATTATGTCTAGCTTGAATGATTCTTGTTGATCAAATATCTCAAGGCAAGAACACTTGCTTGAGATTCGAATCACTCCACAAGCAAGATTGATCATGTCGAGCTTGAATGATTCTACATGCAACCTAAACTACTTAGAATTGCAAAGAAACTTAGCCAACATTGGCCAAAAAAGAGCACAAATGCTTCTTTTACTATATTTTCCAAGCCTCTTACAAATACAACATGCATGGCTTAATGGTCATAATGAAACTACTAGGCATTCCAAGAGTTGTAACATTCATACTTAATGGTCATAATTAATCATTATGTAATTGTAACCTAAAGTAAATAAAAAGTCCTAAAAACTCTAAATTGTAACCCACCCAAAATTTATAACAATCAAATTTCACTCTTTTTCAATGTGGCATGCATTAAAACATCTTTTGATAATTTTGACAACCTTTTCTTCACATCGTCATTGAAGTATATTGTATGATTGATGTTTTTTGGTTCATTTCAATGATTATGCATGTGCTTACATGGTCTAGGTAAAACATGTTCTATCATAATATAGAGAATGTGTGAGCAAGTATGATCATGTATGAATATGATTGCTAATTTTATGAGACATTAGCACTGTGCTGAGGGTGAATACATTATCATGCACCGTATCACCAAATGATGAATTTAACGGTGAGATCGTTGTAATTATGAACTAATTCTCCAGTTATACATTGTACAGAAGTGTAAGTTTACAATATAATATTCATGTCCTCTTTTTTTTTTTCACTGATTTTGGCTACGTGATGATGTGCTAGTCCATAGTCATAAGGACTACAAGAACAAACTAACCTAGTGGGTCTGTGTGCATGTGTGTGGAGTGTGTGCAGAGAAGTACTTTGCATCTAATCGAAAATGAATGTAGAGTCTAAGGTCAGTCATGAAATTTATATCTTATCAACGGTTTTGAATGTTACATGCAAATGCATTTTTTGACTCAATACTGATATCATTTAGAGATCTTTAGTTGAATGATATCATCTATGGAACGACTTTTTTTTCTTCTTATTTTTGTGTTGAATAATATTTTTTTTGTTATTTGAGGTTAGCATGTTACTTTATTTTGATCATGATTTTAATAATAGGCATAGTTTGAATTTGGTTAGTATTGCATGTTGTCATTATTATTGTTATTATTATTTTGGATTTTGAAATTATATGTTTGACCGGTTCTTACAAGAACTTTGACATTTAGTTATTTTTGAAATTTCATGACCTGCAGTGCAGTAACGTTTCAATCTTATGATAAAAGTAGGATTACTCTTAATTTTGATGAAATTTTTATAGTCCAAATTTAATTTTTTAATGAGTAAACCAGGAGAATATTTGCTTAATCCACCCCACCTAAATAGTGTTAGAAAGTTCTCTATTTATAATCAAATAAATTACAAAGATATGTAAAGGATAATAAATGGAACAACAATATACGGCAAGATACCTATGATAAGAAGACAAATATCTAAATATTTGCATATAATAAAATATCAAATATGATATATATGGTAAACTATACTTTAGTACTAGTTATCCTTTCCCATAAACAAATTATTGTTAAAGGGATTTTAATATAATAAAATTTAATGGTTTTTTTTCTCAAGAAAATGAATAATTAACGAGGAAAAAAGTGTTACCTGTTATGAAATAAAAAATGATATAAAAAAATTAAATACATGATATTACGATGGATATGGAATCAACCCAAGGGAAAAATTGGAACGGACTATCTTGATGATCAAGATCAAGAATAAAGAAAACTGAACGCAGATTTGATTAATACCACTTGAATGCTCTACCATACAACCTCTAAATATAAGAGTTTGCAAGGTAAAATTTTATTTCTCAGGAAAGTTAAAATAGAAATTTTATTATTTTTAATTTCAAAATGTGATGTCGGGACTTTATATTCTTTACTACCTTAACCTATGTGATACATAATCTCTTTATTAAATTGGCGAAAAATACCTATAACCTCCCTATTAAAATGACTATTAAGGAGAAATATGGTAACTTATAGGTTACCATATAACTCTCTAACTCATATATTAAAAAACTATTATAAATCTGATAAACAAATATTTAAATTATAATTAAATAACTCAATAAGTGAAATAATCATTTTTGGAATAGTTCCATAAATTCATCTTAATTTAACAAATATTTAAATTATAATTAAATAATGCAATAAATAATCATTATCGAAATAGTTCCATAAATTCATCTTAGTTTATTAAAAGCAAATTAAAATGCATTTAATGTATCATTTTAAACACAACTTTGCAAACTAGTTACTAACCTCTTTTAGAATTTTTTTAGCGAGCTCATCCTAATGGAATATAAATGTAGAATGTTTGGTATTTGTAATAATTTTTTATATTTATTTAAGGCGGGCATCGAGAGGACTTGTAATAAAATAAAAAAAAGAAAAAGAAAAAGAAAAAGAGGAGTTGATATTTTAAGCTTAAGCCCTGCAGCGGCGGTGGGACTGCGAATGTACAGAACAACAGAGATGCGTACACAATGAGTTGCTTACACCGTATCATACGCTACGAGCGTCGTTTTCCACTGTCAGACTAAATCCTCTCACCCCCTTTCTTCTTCTTCCTCTCTCACAGGCCTTCCTCATCCCTCCATACCTCAACTCCTCAACCCTCCGTGTTTCTTCGCCAAATCGACCAACAATCTCACAATCATCTTCAACATCTATCTCACTGCCCATGTCTCGCGGGAGATGACGAAGGTATCTCCCAAGAAGCCTCAGCTTCCGGCGCCTTTCCCGCCCACACTCAACCAACTCCCAGATTTGGATCTGCATTACAGGCCTGGTTCCAGTCGGCCTACGCGGCGGAGAATCCGAAGTCCAGCCCGTGTTAGAAGAGTTGTTGCTCCCGTTGGGAAGCGGAGCCGGCCTGAGACGCCCTTGCTCAAGTGGAAAATCGACGACTCGGGGAGTGGAGCTAATGGAGTTCAGCAGGAGGAAGATGAGAAGAGATTGCCTCTGGAAAGCAGCCAGAGAGGTCGCATTCGAGGTTGTAAAGGAAGAAAAGTCGTTGTTTCGGCCAGGAAGCTCGTCGCTGGAATTTGGAGATTGCAGCTGCAGGAGGCGGCCACTAGTGAAGGGAGGAATGGTGGCCAGCGAAGGACGGAGGATCTCGTAGGGTTTCAGGTAACTTTTGCTTGCTTTTCTCGCTTTAGACGATCTCAGGTGTTCGTTTAGGTTATGCGTCGAAAATTTCGATTCGGTCTCTGGAATTGAAGATGTAAGTAAAAGGAATTTCGACGATTTGTGATGGTTCTGCCTCTTTCAATATGAATATGACTTGGATCGTCACTGGTTCTGTTCGTTTAAGCTTTGCTTTTTGGTCTTATCTGTTACAGACAAATTTGCATTTAAAGGTTCATCACCAATCTCATTGTCATTCTAACCACAAAAACATTGATTTTGATTTTGGAGAGCTTTCTCCTAATCTCCCTCACCTGTGGGATTTGGCTTCTGCCCTTCTGCCCTTCTGCCCTTTCTTCCTTCTTCCTTTGGATAATTCGTCATGTCAATGAAATGTCCTGCATTTTTCATATAAGAAAAATAATTGATGCTAGAGATGCCCTTCACCATGTGTTCTTCTATGTTCTTTTTGGTGAAGATGAATCTAATATTCTCTTTATGCAAACTTGAATCCTCTGTTACATGTGGAAATTTTATGCTGTCTTTGTGTTCCATCTAAACTTCAGTTAGTTAAAACTATCTGTGCTTCTCGAAACAATGTCAAGTCTAGGAATTAACAGCTCAATCATCCATATACTGGGAATGCATGCATGGTTGATTCAGTTGCATTGCCTAGGATAAATATTTATTGTTTGCTTCAAATGGTTGTGGTTGAACACATCAAACTTGGTGATTTAGTTCTCAAGATTATAGGCCTCAATTGTATTTATTCATTTTTCTTGAAACTTTTCCTTTCAGCCTCGCACGGGTCATTTGGCTCCAGCTCTCCATCCTGATGAGAAGATAGCATTTAATTCTGAAATGAATGATCTATTACATAGTCCCCGTTCTGTCTCTGATTCGAGAAACCGACTATTGTGCAAGGTTTGACTTTTTACTCTATATATAGACTTACAGTGTAATGTAAATATTTGATTTTCAGATAACATGAGAGAAACCTATATTTCTCTGTGTAACTTAACTAACAAGTTGTACTATATATGCTTGTTATTTTCAGATAATAAAATGGATATATGATATCTTTTACAACTAGATATGTTTCTACTTTTGTAATCATTTTATGTCATTTGTATGGCTACATTCTTTAAGTTTTTGTTATGGATGAATGGAATTCATTAGTAATTCATAATATCTACGTTGTTCTTATCACAATGATAATGACAATAGATAAGAGGTTCTGCATTCTCTCTTTCTGTCTTATTTATATTTCACGTAGTTTATGACCCTGTTTCGTAAATTGTTTGTTTGCTCTTCTAGTTTGAGCCCTCATTTCGATATTCGAACTCAGCAATGGAGGGGGCAACCAAGTGGGAACCTGCATGCTTGAAAACTCCAGTTGAGGCACGTCAAATTTACAACCAAATGAGACTTCTTGATCAGCAAGGTGCTGTTTTGGCCCTTTCTGCGCTTGAATCTGAACTAGAGCAAGCCCACTTGCAGATCGAGGAACTTCAAGCTGAGCGTAATGCTTCGAGAAAGAAGCTCGAATATTTCTTGAGGAAAGTTACTGAAGAAAAAGCCTTATGGCGGAGCAGAGAGCATGAGAAAATTAGGGCATGTGTTGATGATATAAAGGCTGAGTTGAACAGAGAAAAGAAAACCCGACAAAGGGTGGAAATGATCAATTCAAAATTGGTAAATGAGTTGGCCGATTCTAAGCTATCTGTAAAGCGGTTTATGCAAGACTACGAAAAAGAAAGAAAGGAAAGATCGTTGGTTGAGGAAGTATGTGATGAACTTGCAAAAGAAGTTGGTGAAGACAAAGCAAGAATAGAAGCTCTGAAGAGAGAATCCATGAAATTGAGAGATGAAGCAGACGAAGAACGGAAAATGTTACAGATGGCTGAGGTATGGCGCGAAGAACGTGTTCAAATGAAGCTGGTTGATGCCAAGGTGGCACTTGAAGAGAAATACTCACAGATGCGTAATCTAGTAGCAGACCTTGAAGACTTCTTAAGGTTGAAAATTGAAACCCCAGATGTATCAGAGATGAAAAAAGCTTTGCTACTTAGAGAGGCTGCTGCCTCTGTTAATATTCAAGATGTCACAGAATTTGTTTATGAACCTTCAAACCCAGATGATATCTTCTCTGTGTTTGAAGATGTCAATTTTGGAGAATCGAACGAGAGGGAAATTGGACAGTGCATTGCTTACAGCCCGCCTAGTCACGCTTCTAAAGTCCAGACTGCGAGTCTAGAAGCTAATGTTACTGATAGGATTGGCATTCAGAGACATACGGATTTGTTTGTTGCTCGTAACAGCGGTATAGAAGAAGATGAGAGTGGCTGGGAAACTGTGAGTCATTTAGAGGATCAGGGCTCGAGCAATTCCCCAGAACAGAGTGTTGCGTCTATCAAAAAGAATCATCGGAAGAGTAATGCTTCCGTGAGTGGGATAGAATGGGAAGGAAATGGAGGTGGAGACTCACCCCTTACTGAAGTCAGTGAAGTCTGCTCAGTTCCATCAAAGCAATTAAAGAAGATATCATCCATTGCACGACTTTGGAAATCGTGCTCAAACAATGAAGGATACAAACTAATCTCCCTTGAGGGCATAAACGCCAGGCTCTCAAATGGAAGATTGTCGAGTGCAAGTATCTTTTCGGCAGATGGGGGCTCGGTGAGAAGCGGGATTAGTCCTCCAGAATTGGCTGGACAGTGGAGCTCCCTTGACTCAGGCAATGGTCACACGACACGAGGGAAGAAAGGATGCATTCCTCGCAACACGATCAAAGGTAGTTTAAAGGCTAAGCTGTTGGAGGCAAGGATGGAAAGCCATAAGGTCCAGTTGCGTCAGGTCCTAAAGCATAAGATCTAGGTGTAGAATTAAATTGCAGTGCTTGCTTTTGATTCCCAAAGTGATTTGATTTCTGTTCATAGAAGATGCTCATGATCTTCAAAGGAAGCTTTGAATCATCAGGCTTGGCCCAAAGCGATTATCCAAGATTCATCTGTTGAGGTAAACAATGCTAGGCTATAACTGAATGATTCATTTTTCTGTTCTGTTAACATCAATGCAAGCCATTCGGATGTAATGTATTCTTAGTATCTCTTAGAAGCTGCAGGGGCCCCTCTTGAGGGGAAAAAAAAAAAAAAAAAAAATTCATGTAGGTGACCTAGCTGATCGATCTGTTCATTCTCATCTTTGTAATTTACAATTTTGCAATGTAAAATGCCCTTCTGATTTCTTTTTTATGCCTAAGGTAGTAGAAACAGAATGTAACGCAGGGATTACACGGATTAGTTGGGTATTCTTTGTACCTCTACGAAGCCGTGTCTAAGGTTTAATCCTCTAGTTACCAAAATGAGGAGATAATTGTGTTTTGTGGATTTTAGGTTGAAGTGATGATTGGATTAAGTATGTACGCTATTGAGGGGAGGTACGACATCTTGGCCTAGAGTAGAGGCAAGGTCGAGCCGAATGACTTAGTTTAGAATAGAGGTAAGTCGGCTAGAATCAGAGTGAGCTAATGTAATGACCTATTTTTTGAGATCTTGAATCAAAAATTGCCATGTAGATTAAAAGTTTTATTTTTACAAAGGAGGGGATTTTAATATGCATTCAAACTTAATGTAAGAATAATATTTAAGCATACAAAACATTTGGAAAATTTACATCGAAACCATTCATAAATATCGCAAGTTTTAAAAATAGATACTATTGAAATAATAATAAAAGCAACTCACAAATATTAGACTTGCCCGATAACGAGCTTGCGAGTAAGTCTCTTGTATATGAGGTAACCTATGCACTATAGGCACATTAGTACTCTGACTGTCTGCTCCCTGTCTATCAAATGCACTTTGATAGCATACTCTACGACTCTTGGCGCCCCTGTGAGTGACAACTAACCACTATATATCAAGTAGACCCTAACAATGCTAGGAAGTTCACGATTAGGAGTTAGTGCTCCAACAGTTGACCTAGTTACTTGATAATACTTGTGGACGTTGTTTTTCTCTAAGATTCACCAACATATTTCGTCATTGGTCATTTGGGTTCGAGAGCTTGCCGGTGCTCATGGTTCCTTTCGATTTTTCCTTTGTTCAATTGATCTCCTTTTGGGTTCGAGAGCTTGCCGTGCGCACCACAAATCCATGGAGTTATGAGCAAGGATCTGGTAGGTGGTTTGACTCTTTTCACTGTGGAGGTTGTTTTGTCACTGTGTACGACTCCATATTGTCTTTCCATTTTTTTCAATCCAACCTCTCCCTTATTTATTCGATCCAGTCCAAAATATCAAATTATCATCATATATATGTGGGTGTATACATAAATACACATATATTGTCACACCAAACATGCATGCATGGGTGGCATGTATGGCCAAACAAAGTTTCTGCAGAGTTATGTTCGTTCGGTGAATGAGAACCTTACTTAAGGTCCGACAAAGTCACAAACCTTAGCGAAAAATTGAAATGTGACTTGAGCTTCCATTAAGCTTATCATGAATGTGTTAAGATCATGATGCCATATGATACAAAAAAGTATAATTGTGATATTGTGCATCTAGTTAAGTTTAGTCGTGATTATCAAATGAAGAGATATGGATTTTGGGTTGAGGTGATATTTGGATTCATTAAGTACACCATCAACCCGAATAGGAGATGGCACGTGATGGAGATGGAGATGGACGTGGTGCTTATCAAATTCCTTGAACATCTAAGTTTTTTTTTTTTAAGAAATGGTGTTCAATGCCTTATTTTCGTCTTCTTGGTTTGTCATTGTTTCAATGTAGCTTGAATATAATCACGTATATACATACACACATGGTTGACATCATCAACATCGATTTTTTCTTTTAAAGTTAAATTTTTGGAATTTTATTGAGGGACTTAGAAGTCAAATTTTAAGATGAAGTATTAGAAGACTCCAAGAAAGTCAACAAAAATATAAAAGAAAATAATAGAAAATTAGAAAAATAAGCCAAAGTCAACTTGAGGAGTAAATTAGTGATTTTGATCCACCTTTCTAATTAAGGGGTACTTAAGAATCCTAATAAGATCATTAAGGAGGAAGAAAGAAAAAGGAAAAGAGAGAAGAAAATGAAATTGGCTGGATTTGTTCAAATCCATAAAAAATCAAGGAATTATGAATTTTTATATGTTGTTTCTGAAGGAATTTATCACAAGTTTCGTGAAGGAAGCTCAAATTATTTTAAATCGAAAGACAGTGTTCTAGTGAATGTCAAAGAAACGATAATTTTGTGAGTTTGGAATTCTAGACCAACTTTGAACTTGATTATTTCTTGATGTGGTCGGCCAAAATTTACGAAAAAAATATATTTTGAAAATAGAATGAGAAGAAAATAGTTGGAATATTCATCAGTTTTTGGAAAAGTTTTGTTCGTAGTGAATACCTTAAGGACACATGTCGCAAGCAGGCGCTATGTGCTTTTTCAAGGAATGACCATGTGTTGCAAAGTGAGAGGGTCGCATGTCCGCTAACCAGTAGGGTTTCGATTGCCAAGTAGTTCCATTTGCATCCGACCTACACTCGTATTCCACTTAGCAAACCATGCATAGAGCTGACCGCTGACCCTAATCGATTTAGCCACGCCACACACAATGTGCCACATGTCGCGTGATAGGCACAAGTACGTTGCCAAGATGTGGGTGGCTACTTGCATGAGTAGACGCGCGTATTCTCCACCTTTGCGCATGTGAGCATGTGTAACGACCCTAAATTTCTAGATATTTAGAGTTGCTATTAACGTCCCATGCTCATCTCTTATGCACAAGTATATAACTCTTAATAGAAAATATTATCTATAGTATAAATGCCAAAACATTTAAAGCATCTTCTCTCGAAAACACAGTCATGATCTTATGTGTTTAAATACGAAATACTCAAATTTAGAGAAAATAAAAACAAATGCAAAACAACATATTCTAACCTAAGACTAAAAATTTAAATATGAGCCTACCCTATGTACGTGCCACAGTTTCTGCTCGCGATGCCACCGTCATCCGTACATGTGTGCCTTGCCTTAACTTGAAAAATGATATGACACATACCTTGAGTATTTCAAAAAATACTCAGTGAGTGATCCCACTATAGGGAGTTATGCAAATGCAAACACATGCAATCATGTTCTTGGGACCTATCTCTATCTCATCTAGGGGTGGCCTTCAGTCTCGGACTACTATGAATGTGTAGGACTTCTCTACACACGACCCGCACGTGCGAGTATGAATCTCTAGGGGGCTCGCACACCCCCGGACCCTCTCTGGTCAAGCTACTCTATAGCAACGTTAGGAGGTCAGCAAAACCCTTGATATCATGCTCCCATGAATACCCTCATCATCATATTGTGCGTGTTCACACTCATCATCTCTAGTGGAAGTATTCTTATGCTTATGAACATACAACATGTATGAGGTCCCTCTAATTTCCATCTTCTCATCTCTTTTGACACAACCGTCTAGTCTCGTCTCTTTGTTACATTAAGTAACACATGCTCATGAAACATTAAGTACACAACTCTCTAGTCCATCTAGTCTCATCTTATCATTTTCATTTATATTAATATCATTTATATTTATATTAAGTAACACATTTCGTCTTCTTAGATAGATTCAAATTTCAACCCACGAAAAAAAGTAAAACAAATAAATAAAGAAAATAAGTTAATTAATAATAATAATAACAACCGATCCATCAACCTCCGACTACTCGCTCCTTGCCTAAAATACTTCAACAAACTCCTCCTCGATTTTACAGATTATTTTAACGAGCTCCCTAATGTGTATCAAGTTTACAGATTTAGTTCCACGTGAGAGAGATGTCATTTGAACTTCTCAAATAACCTAACCTATATCATGTTTACAGATTTAGTTCCATGTAAAAGAGGTGTCATTTTGAACAGGCTAGTAGTCATATTTTACATTTTCCTTTTTCTTTTCTTAGTTGATATTAATTTAGTTATAATGAGTTAGTTTATGGGTTATAAATTAAATGACAACAATTTTCTCAGTTTTAGGAAATCTTGGTTACGATGAGTTAGCTTTGAGTTAGAAATTAATGACAACAATTTTTTTATGAGTTTTAGAAAATTAATCGGTAGCCGTTTGTATAGAAAGTAAGAATGGATTAAAATTGACACCAAAATAACTTGTAAACCGAATTAAAAAAAAAAAAACTTAGAAAGAATGAGAAAAGATGAAGAAAGTATTAAATTGTTAGTCACATTTATATCCTCAAATACTAACCATAGAAAATGAGATCATTAATAAAATAACACACACACATATATACACGTACATTAAACATATATAAATATTCCAAGATTCTATTCATGCAAAATCTCTAATGTTTGCATGAAGTCTAACACATGAGTCATCGTAAAATTTAGCTAAATAATATTGCAAAGTTTGGATTTGAAATTGATGTCACGGGCTCACATAGGTTGACTTGAATTTCAAAGGACAAAATCGAACTTTTATTAAGGATAAATTGGAGACACCAATTTAAGTTAATTAAGTAAGTGACCTTACTATCGGCTCAGTCAAAAGACTTGCCTTATGAATGACGACACGTGTCCAGTGGCCTTTGCACGTGTCATTTATGCTTATGTACAATGATGGTGATAATGTGAATATATATTATGAGTTAGTATGATGTGATGTTATATTATGATGATGCTATAATATTATGATGTTATGATGATATAATGATGATGATGTTATGATGATATGACAATGATGATGATATGATGATGATGATGATGCATGATGACATTATGGCGAGATTACTCAATATGATGATACTTCATATTAATATGATGTGCTAGTACGAGATGTCATTTTGCATTATGATGAAGAGTTTTATGAGACACAAGCTTAAATGATGTTAACGATGATGAATGTATGAAGGCTCATGCATGCATGTTACCTAGAGTAATATGTGAATGATGTATAAGGTCGTGTCATAAAAATAATTTAAGATGAAAACTATACGGAGCTTATACATATTTGATGTTCATTTACATTGAGTTACTTCTCCATTTATAATGATGAGTACAGACGTATACACTATGATAATGATGATGATCATGTCTTGCATGATATTTAAGGATTTGCTAACCTCCGGATGTTTGGCTGCGGACAACTAGCCTGACTATGATAGACCCAGGGGTGTGGGAACCGCCTGGTGGACTTAGGCTCGCATGTGTGGGTCGTGTGTAAGAAAGTCTACACATCCAATTTTGTCCGAGCTTGAGGTCACCTCTATAATGGTTTTAACAATAGGTCTCTGATTATGTGTTGCATATGTTTGCATTTCTTGACTGTCACTTAGGATTTCTTAAAATACTAAGTTGTTTGCTATTTCTATTGTTCAAGTAAAGACAAAACATCTCTGTACAGCTGACAAGAACATTGCAAGTAAAGACTATGACACATGTATAGTATAGTGATATTTCAATTCTTAGACCTTAGATTAGTATAAGGTGTTATTACTTTTTAGTATTTCTTTTGTGTTATTTAAAAGATTCTTTATAAACGTGTAAATACATGATTACTAGTGATTACGAAGATGCTTTTTAAATGATTATTCACCCCTAAGAGGTTAGGTTGAAGATGATAACAAATTTAGGTTATTTAAAATCTAGAGATGCTACCCAAATTAAGTTCAATTACCACAATTTAGTTTTGTGGGTTAAGATTTGTTGTTTTTCTCTCCTAATTTTAGCAAATTGTATAGTTGGAAAATTTATGTAAACCTTAGCGGAAGGTATTTTTGTCGCAGTGTATTCTATTTAAAAATATGATTACTTATTTGTACACCCCTTGACTTGGCTCATCGGGCTAGCACTCACTAACGGGCGGTTGACAAACACCACAGAGGGAAAAGACCCACATAATATAACGACGAACATAAATGTCTTAAATCTAAGTCATAACGTATTCACTCGTACTCATCATATTTGAGAAGTATCTCGATTTACATGACACATAAAAATGCATGAGATCCCCATAGCTGATCTTGACATAATGTATGATACAAGACAAATCTCCATTTATCTTTAACATAATAAGTTTGTGAATTATGCTTACACTTTTGTACATTCTGTAATACATAACATAGCTTTCAACAAGTTTGATGATGAAGTGACTCAATTTAGAACAAAGTTTCAAATTTTGTTTCTAGATTTTTTATATTAACCGGTAATCTAGTTCTAGCCTTATATCTTTGTTGATCCAAATTGTATAAAGTGTTAATTTATTTGATTCAACTGTTCTTACTTCAACAAAAACTTGGATCGTTAGGATGAAGATTAAAATTTTCTTATCAAAATGAGAACATGCTAAGATATGAACTCTATGAAAAAAGACAAAATTACCCTAATGATCCTTTACAAGGAGTCAAGATTTATTGTGAATACCAAGTGACAAGATACGTCCTTGAAATAGGTTCTTACGTATCTTTAGTCTAACAACATGCAAAAATATCTATTATGCTTAATGCAATATCAACCTTAGGTGAGGATTTTGTTAAGAAATTGGAGGAAATAACCTACCTACTTGGGGTTGGGGATGGGGATGATTATGCTCTATAATTTTAGGAGAAAGTATTCAAAGGAAGCTTTGAAATTATATGGCAAAGCGGTAAATGGCTGGACACTTTAGCAAGGTTTGGAATGTGACTTGAGACAAAATAACACATAAACACTTATAACGCTAAATTAAATATCAAAGGTATTCCAACGTTTAGGATAATTTAGTAAAGTTGAGGTAGACCAAGCCACGTGAACTACTAAGCAAGAATTTTGCACTCCTTGACATTTTCTAGAGAGTGCATTAACTTCGATTGTTAAGAGGAAAGAATTGACCCACGTGACTCTTCATATTTTTCTTTCATATATTCTTAATTCATACCTAGTTTGATGTTCATACTGAAATTCAACTAATTCATATAAGTATTGCTTAAGAAAAGTTCAATATGACTATTTATTTTGTTGTTGACGTTCGAAACCTTCGTTCTTGAGGTTTTGGTATCCGAATTACTTCAAATTTTCTTTGAAACATTTCTTAAGAGTGTCTAGTTTCTGGAATTATAAATCTTTTTCATGAGAAATGATCTGGAATAGTGTTAAAATTGAGAAAAATCGAGGGCAAGTTGTTTTTTGATTTGACATGACCGGTTTAGTTCAACCGGCCACGTCATCAACTTCTTTGTGTGGAAGGATGAAGACGCGTGCGACTGTGATCTTTGTCACCTATTTCTTTGCTTCTCTATCTCCATTTACAACATTCTTCCCTCAATTTCTTCAATTGGGCACGTCCTTGGGATTAATTCTCTTCGTGGTCTCCTATGGAAATACTCCTTGAGGGTGAAGAAACTGATTGAGATTGGTCTTGCTCATCGAATTTGCGTGTAGGCTCGGATTGAAATTTCAAGCTCACTTTAAACTTCTTTAGTGGTGACCACTATTGGGGGAATGAGTTTGAAGCTCTTTCAACACTTGATTCCTTCATAAAACTTGTGGGTAATTTTTTTAGAAGCGGTAGGAACAAGTTATAAGGGAAATGGTGGATAATTGCTCTTGAATTTCAAAGAAATCGACAGTATGAAACCCAAAAACTAAACTGCTATAACTCACAATTGAGAGCTCGACCTTACTCGATTCTTGTTCCATATGAATGTCCCAACTTTAGACTTTATAGGAGAAGCTTAAAACGTTGTTGAAACCTCCAGAATCGTCGTGATTTAAAAAATGAGATTTCTAGATTATACATCGAAAATATCATCTCCGATCAGCGAGCTACCGACTTCCAATCTGAATTCTACCGTTGGATGTGGTGAGTTTTGTTTCCTCCAGAACATACTCAAGTGAATATCCAAGGATTGGATTTGAAGATATGAAAGATTTTCTAATGACTGCCACAAATATGATTTTTTTTATGTGTGGCATTTTTGTAAATATCTCAAAGTTTAGTGGTTTTTTTTTATTTTTTTTGTAATTTGACATTTTTTGAATATTTTATTATTATTTTTCTTAAACCTATAAAATTCTCATTTCTGAGCACCTTAAAATTCCTTCTAGATAAGAAATAAAAAATTCTCGAAGTTTCTTGAAATTTGAAAAAAAATGACCTTTTTTGTCTTTTAGGCTTAATTTTCCCTTCCCGATCCTTCTCCAAAGGCCTTAAATTCCTTAAACTACTCGTTAAGATATAGAAGTGACTTGTTTATGTTTTTATTTGTATGAATACGTTGAACAAAAGTGAGTATGCATAAGCAACTTTGTTGGATGTAATACTAGTTGGATAACTTTCATCACCAATGTAGTGAAGTCAAAACTCAAATGATGAATGAAACGAGTATTTCTTAGTTTTAAAAAAATGTATAAAGACCCTCACACATTGTAAAATGGCGTCTAGTTAGCTCGTAGGAAGCATAGAAAGTTCACATCTTTTTAAGTAGAAGAGATCATAAGACGTTAGGAGAGGAGTAAAAATAAGAGATTAAATTCCTCTTTCTTTATTTCATTACATTTCACTATGTTTCCATCTTTTTTTATTAGTTACTTCGGTCAAAAATTTAAAGTGTCTTCGTTTTCTAAGTTAGATAATTTTAAAAAACGTTCTATAAAATGCTCGTTTTTAAAGTTAAGTACGCAATGTTACTCAAACAATAGGGAATAGGCATCATGGAAAAAAAAGGGCATAAGCTTGAAATTCAATGCCACAAACATAAGATAATAATGCAAAAAAATTACTAGATTTCAACTAGCGTATTTGATAGATGGGTAGGGAAGAATCCATACTTAATTTAATGCACATTTAATATGTAACTACCTCTCTTCGACCACATTACGTCTCATCTCATTAGTATAAAACTAAAATTATTTTATTTAAACGTTTCAATTCATCTCCCTAATAATTTTATTTGGAAGAGTTGCATGTATCAATAAAGGGGAATGAGAAGAAAATAAAGCTTCCCACATTTAAAAAATAATTAATGGTAAATTTCTTAATAAATAAATAATAACAATAGTGAGGATGATAATAATAATTTGAGTAGAATCTCTCTCTCCTCCTCTCTAGACCTTAGACCTCTCCCCTCCGTTTCTTAAGATCGTTCCTCGACACATCAATGTTAATGTCGTTGTTCCACATCACCGTCACCCTCTTCTTCTTCAAACAAAAAAAACACAATCTGAAAAAAAACTCAACTCTATCCCATCATCATCAACTTGAAAAGTTGCATCTCGTATCAATAAAAATTTAAAAAGTAAATTGGAATTCTTAAAAAGAAAAAAATAATGGTAAAGATTCATTTATATATATTATCTAAGTGAAACCTTTTAACTTGAAGCTTTATGTTTTCACATTGGAAGAGATATAAATTCTATTTATACGACGATTTTTAATAAAACAATAGAATTTCTCACGTTTATCCGTTTCTAAATTATTTATTATAAAAAATTTGTAGAGGAGAAATCCATCCAATTTTTAATTTGTTTTAAAAAGATTTAACAATAAAGTAATAATAATTTTTTCTTAGTCCATAATTCAAACTTACGTGGATGAATTGAATATAAACATCAGATAAGACAAAGAAAGGACCACAAATCGATGCATCGAGGAAAATGAGGAAACAAAAATAAAACATGTGGAAATATATATATATATATATATAGTTTAAGTTAAAGATTCTTTCTTATCTTGATTTTGAATGAAATGAAGAATGGTTCCTCCCCACGTTTCAGTATTTTTAATCTTTAAATATAAAAAATTCCAAATTAAATAAATAATTTTAATTTTGGGGTGGTGATACAATAATGCAAAAGTATAGGGACTCCAAAACAAAATGCAAATTATTGGAGTGGTCCTCCTCAACCTCCATAAAAGGGTGCGTAAATGAAAGCTCCGATCTCATCCACTCACCCATTGCCAATTAAACTGTAGACGTATGGCTTACTGCACGGCTCACACCTTCCAAATTCCGGCCTCCAACGTCATTTCACGGCCACGCACTGTCACTCCCTCTGTCGGCGCCGCCGTGTCCTTGTGGCGCCGCCCTTCATCTATTCCATCTATTTCAAACCGCAACATGTCCTTCAAATGCCACGCCATTTCCAAGTGTGATGGTACTCCGCTCTCACTTACATCAATTATGTTTTTAAAATTAGATTAGAGATATATAATATTTTTTAATACAATTGTCCTTGCAACTCTAATTTTGCAATTTCTAGTTTGTTTCTAAAAGCTTTGAATCTCATTTCAACACTTAAACACAAATGTTACCATTCCTAAATCTATGTCTAATGTTCAATTTGAGGATAAAAATTCATCAATATAATAAATTTAAAATTTAAGAGTAACCATTGGTTTTTACCTCATAAACATTTTTCCATTATAATATCAACGGGCATCAGCGTTTTCTATGACAGATATCACAACTATTGAAACTAATGAGGCTCCAGAAGCATTAGGGCCATATTCTCAAGGCATCATAGCCAACAACTTTATATTTGTGTCTGGCTCCCTAGGTCTGATTCCCGAGGTAGTTTCATCACATTATGATTTTATTTATTGTTACGTTCTACTTTACATGTAGATTATGTGAATTTTTTAAAGGCCTACATGTGTTTGTAGATTCGTAGTTTTGAATTTTGTGTACGTGTATGCACTTTCTATGAGGTCTAATTGAGTGTGTATGTTTATGATTTAATACAGACAGGAGAATTAATTTCCGATCATGTTGGAGAGCAAGCCGAGCAGGTATTATTCATTTATTTTTTTCATTGGATGTTGTTGTGGTTTGTAGACCCAAAAGTTTTATAAAAAAAATGTTTGAAAATGAAATGAATATGATTACGCAGGCCCTCAAAAATATTGGTGCAATATTGAAAGCTGGAGGTGCGGACTATAATAGAGTGGTTAAGACAACTATTATGTATGAAATCCTTTTTCGGATATTTTGACGTTTTTTTTTTTTTGGAAAATGGTCGTTTTTTTCTTTTGTCTTCAGACCTACATTTTTACAACAATTCTTTGTTGCAGGCTGGCTGATGTAGCTGACTTTGCATTAGTGAATCAAATTTATGCTCGATGTAAATTCTTTTCTTTCATTTTCTTGTAATTTTTTTAGCGAAGAAAATGAAATTGAGAGGCGTTTTTGGTCATTTTTACAGACTTTTCCGAGTACCCTGCTCCAGCTCGGTCAACATTTCAGGCTGGAGCATTGCCCAAAAATGCCAAGATCGAAATCGATGCAATAGCTGTGGTTTAAACTGTAGCACCTCGATGTGACATGAGCATGCGAGGAGTTCTCAAGTATCTGATATATTAGTATGGTTGTAAATTTAATAAGTTGGAGATGGCTAATAAATACAGGAAGATCCCAAATTAGATGAGGGTTTCTTGCTAGTTGTTACCAACATTATTGTAATAATTTTATTGTTGCCTTGTTTTATGTGGGGCCTTTCTCATGCTACCATGGTTACTTCTGCAAATTTTCTGGTTAATTTATTTATTTTGTTTTTATTTCGTTCTAATTATACTAAAGTTATCGAATAATTTGACACTCGAACAAATTATAAGTTGAATACTGCTCTTTGTGCGAAACACTCGTACTCTTACAATAGAATACTACTTGATAGAATACTACTACACTTTACTTCACTTGAGATTTATTGGAAGAGAACTTTAGTAGAGTGGACGGAATTTATTTATTCGTACCGTATATAATCCTTTATTCCTAAAATATCTAAATCATTTTACTAAAATAAGGAGTAATCTTTATTTCTAAAATACCTAAATCATTTTACTAAAATGTATATATAATAAACTCATAATTATTGGGCTTTTCACCCTACTTTTGGGTTAGCGATGAAATTTTAACATCCCTCCTCAGTACTAGTTCTTTCGCCGCACCTATTGAGTTGACAACGAAAACCCTCATATCTATCAGTATTTAGCTCTCTTGTAAACAAGTTTGTCACTTGATCATCTGTATTCTTTCTTTAACACTTTCACTCGAATAAAATGGTAATTCACATCCACACGCTTTGTTCTAGCACTAAATTTTGAATTTTCTGCTAGGCGAACTACAGATTACTTGTTGCAATAAAATGGTAATGGATAGTCAATTTTCAAGTGCAAATCACCTGTTAAGAGTTTCAACCATGTACTTTCTTGAGCTGCTCCAACTGCTGCTCTGTACTCTACTTCTGTAGTTAACAATGATACTGTTGGTCTTCTTTTTCGACACCAAGAAATTATTATCAAATAGAAAAACACATACTTGGTGTTTGATCTTCGGTATCACGATATCCTTTGACATATCGTAGGATCTGTTAAGCCTCATCCAAATGAGGGTTCTATGGACTTTGCATGTATCAACTAATGACTCCAACTCCATTTTCAAATATCTTTGGTTGGTCTATATAGATCTCCCTCTCTAACTTTATGTGCAAGACATCATTCTTCTTATCTGTCTGCAATTTCCAATCTTTACTTAGCACATGTGCGGAAGGAACTTGTATATAGTGATCGTCGCCATTGGACTAAACGTTTCATAGTCTAGTCTATATTATTGAGAGAACCATGGAGCTACCGTCTGAGTCTTATATCTCTCGACAATCCATCTGAGTTACACTTTATTTTGTAAATCCACTTGCAAGAGATAGGTTTGATATCTCCTGGTCTTGACACTAGTTTCAAAATTTTGTTTTTGTAAGGACTAGGCTGACTGAATGACTTCAAAGAGACGGGTAAATTTTTCGCAAAATAAAACAAAGGAATTTAAAACATAATATACATTATATCAAAATAAAGTTCATACATAAGTATTTAAAACACAACATAATAGTTAAAACACAAAATAAGGAATGACACAAAATATTTTAACATAAAAAGGGTTGAAGGACGATGGGTGAGGTTTGCCTATGACACCAACTCCAAAGTCCGCTCCCGACCTCGACCAACTCCTTATTACCTGAAAAAGATGAAAAATAAGGAATGAGTGCAAAGACTCAGTAAGCAGCCTACTTGTAGACTCTTAATTGTGTCCTTGATATACTAGGGTACTACAGTCTTTCTTTTCTTGTTTTCGTTCTTGTGGTAAGTACTTAGGCCCTCTAGTTCTCATTCTTGACTTGTGGATTCTTATCATATTTTATCCTGAGGACCTTGGTCCTTGGACTCTGAAACCTTGGTTATCCTCTACGGGCCTTAGTACTATGGTTCTTGTCTCTTGTCCTTAGAACTTGGATCTTGATCCATTTTCTAGTCCTTGATCTTTCTCTTGTTCTTGGTTCTTCTAGGCTCTTGTTCTATTTCTTAATTCGTTCTCCAAGACACTCCTTTTAGGATTTATGGTACTAGTCATAAGCATGTCAACCTGTGTTCGGGGCTTCATGCGTTCCAAATGACATAGTCTTAGTACCTACGCTCAAGGCTTCATGCATTCCAAGTAACGTGGTCTAAGTCATGAGCATAATGTACCGTGGGAGGTCTTAGGAGGTTCTTGATTCTTGGCTAAGATAATTTACTCTCTTCTTATTCCATCGTGGCCCTAGATTACTTCCCATGATAGACCATAAAGGTCACGTGATCAATGCATGCATGAACATGACATAAACCATAAAGATCACTTGATTGATGCATGCATGAACATGACATAGACCATAAAGGTTTCGTGATCGGTGCATGCATGAACATGACATCCTGCAAATCTTTGGGTTTCATAACATGGTGCAAGGCATCTCATCCCATGGTGCAAGAATGCTAGGTAATACTCTAAGCATGCCTGTGACAATTTATGTCCAGGAAGCATGCTTAGAGTATTACCTAACATTTTTTAGTTTCTAAGTTCGAGGACTTTGGTCCCTTGTTCTTGGGTAGTACCTAGCATTCTTCTTGCTTTGGTGGTTGTAGGGCTTGTTTGGTTTTATTCTTGGTTCTCAATCTTGTAAGTTCCTAAAGTTCATAATTCCTTGAGGCATAAGTTGCCACATGCATTCATAATCATATAAACCCATCATAATAACTAGCACGAGTTATTCTAGAACGTCACAGAATCATAATGGATCCCTTAGAGGGTTATAGAAGGGTCTTAAATCTTGAGGTGCTTCCTTTAAACGTTTCTTAAATTCTATCTTGGTTTAGGTTCCAAACTTGCTCCAATCAATTTGAAATCTTGAACTTATCCTCCTATCATACAGAATAGATCTTATAGAAAATAATTGTTAATTTGGAGCATGTCTGGACCTTGAGTTAGGATATGACTTCTTGTTCCGTTTTTAGGAACTAAACCTCAAAGGATGTCATGTCAGCCTCGTAATTTAGTCCTGAAAACTTTTCCAAAGTAACCCTTAATTTTCTCCCCTTGAGTGCATTGGTGACGTCGTCATAATTGTGGTATCCTACTGGCAAAACGCGATTCAGGGCATCTCATTTAGGTGAGGGAAATAATAAGTCCATCATGGCATCCTACTCATGGTACATGTAATTGGGCATCCCACCTAAAGAGAAATAGGGGCCTCGTGGTACACTTCGTGATGGATATACTGATTACTTCGTGATATCAAACACGCCGATTTTTTTACCGGTGTGGAAGGGATAGTGGAGCACCTGTTGACATCGTTCCCACTACTCGTAGCTAGGGGCTTCCATGGCCATATTTAGGCAGTGGTGGTCTGCTAAGCTTCTACGGTGGTTTAAGTGGCTATTGAGGGACCCTCCTCTCCAAGTCTACTCTATTTAGTCCACATGGCCTTTTGTTTCTTCTTAGAACACTGATTTTTACCGTCTGAATGTCGTTCATGATCCTATGGTCCTCGGTCTGTTAGAAGCGTCCTAACCTAATTATTTGTCAAGCCAACCTATCTTTACCACACTAGTCTTAACTAGTTTATTTATTTATTTATTTATATATATTATTTTTTTAATAGAAAGTACTTCTAGCTACTTTCTCTCGTGTTAAGTTAACTTTTTGTCATGAGTCCTATTTTGAAGATCGGTATCTTCTTATCCATAAGTAATTTTTTTTTAGATCTATTCATATCCCATGAATTTAACTTCATCAAGAACATCTATAAATCCTTAGATTTTAGGACTTTACCTTATTCATCCTTAGTTGAGTCATCTCATAACTCTCTCCATACGAGGCTTATTCCATTAATGACTAGGATCCACTTCACTCTCAAGTGGAGTTAAATTGTTAACAACTTTTGTCAACTATTAGGGGCTCCACTTGGAACTATTTAATTAACAATGTCTTTTTATTTGAACTTCTTTAAAAAATTATATTTGTTTTTCTATATTTTGTTTCTCTTTTAGGAGTAGACTACACTTTTTGGGCATAATTTTGAACATATTTAACCTCTTTAGATTTGTATCAGCGTATATTATATGCTTAATTTCAAATTATTGAAGTGTTGTAAACTAATTTTAGTACACTTCCATAATCTCAAAACTTATCTCATAGACAATTTTAAAGGCAATCATATTCACTATGCAATCCCTATTGCATATCCTAACAAGAGTTCGGTAATTGTGTAGAATTCCTTTTTTTTTTTTTTTAACACATGACTATATCTAATATAGTCTTATTTTCTCCTCTTACATCACAATTTTACAAAATTGTACTATGCTACTAGTTTACATTTGTTGAAGAAATCAAGAGGAGATAAGCTCTCAATCGTTGGGACAAAGAGCTGGTTGAATCTACCGTATGGGACACCATCAAGGTGTTAAGCACTGTCATAAGCCCTATTCTATTGTGGGTTGTTAGTTTATATTTGGGTGACCTATTCTCAAGGTCTTGCTAGTCTTGTTAGCTTATATTTAGATGACCTATTCTAGGCTTGTTAGTTTATATTTAGGTTTAGCAGAAGGCTATATAATGCCATTCTTTCTGCTGTTAAAATACATCTATATGTCCCTGCAAAATACCCAAGTCATTGATCAAACCATGCATCCAAATAGCTTCTTTAAAAGCTTCCGTTACCGCCATATACTCTGCTTCAGTGGTAGACAATGCAACAGTAGACTGCAATGTTGAGCGACAACAAACAGGTCCACCAGCCATAGTAAATAAATAACCCGTGGTGGATCGTCGCTTATCCAAATCACCAGCATAATCAGAATCCACAAAACCAGCTACACGATTGTCAAGATTAAACATTTCTTGTTTTTGAAACTTAATACCAACATCAATAGTGCCAAGAATGTACCTAAGAATCCATTTTACAGCCTGCCAATGCTCTTTACCAGGATTATGCATATAACGACTCACCATGCTTACTGCGTGTGAAAGATCAGGTCGAGTACACACCATAGCATACATCAACGCACCAACAGCATTTGTATAAGGAATGTTCTCCATATATCTTTTGTCATCGTCAGAACTTGGACACATGGAAGCACTAAGCTTGAAATGAGGAGCAAGTGGAGTACTAACAGGTTTGGTTGAATTATTCAAACTAAATCTTGACAATACCTTGCGTAGATATTGAGACTG